AATGAAGCACATTAACTCTTATGCTGCCGACCCAATTATTCTTACTGCCGGCGTGAGGATCTGCCCAGGATCGCAAATAATTTGGAGCTGCCGATAAGTTACCATCTTCCCGAGGTAAGAGAGTTAACTGACTTTAAAAGTCTAGTTTCCACCCTTGCCGAACTAGGCTGGAATTTCTGGTCTCGATCGTAGCGCCACCAGTGGCTGTTACGAGTTATGTCACTGCTATGCCTCTCCTATTGACCAATCAGATTCCACCTATCGTATCACTTGCATTTGCTTCAAGCAATATGGCGGCGCCCAGTCAAGACGATCTGATCGACAATCAAGATCTATGTTGTGATAAAACGGCTCTTACATCGCTAAGTGCGTCAAATCACGTGAGCACCTTGATTTAAAACTTGAAAAGATTTGGAAAATATCTGTTGACAGCGAGTTGGCGGTACACATGCTGTGCAAATCTTGCAATCGACTCGAACTCTGCATAACAGTTTACGAACCGGATTTTGATTTTGGTCCTCGATTGTAAGAGGACTATGCATAGACTCGTTAGTCCAGCCCAAATCTAACTACATAATACCAGTCTAGTTCGGCAAGGGTGGAAACTGGACTTTCATAGTCAGTCAACTCTCTTGCCACGGGAAGATGATAAGTTACAAAAACCAGATACTAATATCGCTTACGAAAGCGAGAGGCACAAACGATACGACCATGAAATGAGTTTAATAATCATTATATGATAAATGAATTACGGTTTATTGGTTAATCTCGGACAGTTCATAGGTATATTGCACCATATTTCATTCTTGTTACGAACCTCATTCTTCTATAAAAGTATCTTCCTCATTTTAAAAATACACCAAAAGCACATTTTGTTACCGGCTCTGTACATGTGTTGGTAGGACGCGGTCGGGGGATGGAAACACCCACCCTCCGTTCTTTGGTGGTTGTTTGGTTGACGATGTGTTAAGGGGGCAATTGACACACAAACATATGTCCATGTGACAGATGTGATAGGATGTACCTGACACATACAGACAGATACACAGACAGACAGATAGACACTCACGTGTTTGACACCACTGCCTCTGTTTATAATTGATATATGTACCACGAACACACAAACATGTAGGTGTTCGCTAGCACTGACTCTATTTATGATGTAAGTACCTGGTGCATACATACGCACATACACATACATCTGAAAATCTATACATGTGGTGATACACGTGGAGTACCTGACATGCACACATGTAAATGTTTATGATCCAGGCATCTCTCGATAGACTAAGACTATGTCACCTTTCCCTCCCTCCACACACACACACACACACACACACACACACACACACACACACACACACACACACACACACACACACACACACACACACACACACACACACACACACACACACAGATACACAGATACAAATCATGTACCTCTGTTGAAACACTTGAAGTATGTACCTTTCTCTCTCAGACACACACACACACACACTCTCTCTCTCCCTCTTTCTCTCTCTGCATCTTGAAGTGACACACGCACACCGACTGATACAATAGTCTCACCTTGACGTGAAACTGAGCATGGAGAATGCTGCAATAGTCTTACCTTGAAGTGACACATGTACGGAGACTGTTGCGATAGTCTCACCTTGAAGTGACACATGTATGGAGACTGTTGCGATAGTCTCACCTTGAAGTGACACATGTATGGAGACTGCTGCAGTAGTCTCACCTTGAAGTGACACATGTATGGGGACTGCTGCAGTGGTCTCACCTTGAAGTGACACATGTATGGGGACTGTTGCGATAGTCTCACCTTGAAGTGACACATGCACACAGACTGATACAATAGTCACACCTTGAAGTGACACATGTATGGGGACTGCTGCAGTAGTCTCACCTTGAAGTGACACATGTATGGGGACTGTTGCGATAGTCTCACCTTGAAGTGACACATGCACACAGACTGATACAATAGTCACACCTTGAAGTGACACATGTATGGAGACTGCTGCAGTAGTCTCACCTTGAAGTGACACATGTATGGGGACTGTTGCGATAGTCTCACCTTGAAGTGACACATGCACACAGACTGATACAATAGTCACACCTTGAAGTGACATATGCATGGAGACTGCTGCAGTAGTCTCACCTTGAAGTGACACATGTATGGGGACTGCTGCAGTAGTCTCACCTTGAAGTGACACATGCACACAGACTGATACAATAGTCACACCTTGAAGTGACATATGGATGGAGACTGCTGCAGTAGTCTCACCTTGAAGTGACACATGTATCGGGACTGCTGCAGTAGTCTCACCTTGAAGTGACACATGCACACAGACTGATACAATAGTCACACCTTGAAGTGACACATGTATGGAGACTGCTGCAGTAGTCTCACCTTGAAGTGACACATGTATGGGGACTGTTGCGATAGTCTCACCTTGAAGTGACACATGCACACAGACTGATACAATAGTCACACCTTGAAGTGACATATGCATGGAGACTGCTGCAGTAGTCTCACCTTGAAGTGACACATGTATGGGGACTGCTGCAGTAGTCTCACCTTGAAGTGACACATGTATGGGGACTGTTGCGATAGTCTCACCTTGAAGTGACACATGCACACAGACTGATACAATAGTCACACCTTGAAGTGACACATGTATGGAGACTGCTGCAGTAGTCTCACCTTGAAGTGACACATTTAAGGGGACTGTTGCGATAGTCTCACCTTGAAGTGACACATGCACACAGACTGATACAATAGTCACACCTTGAAGTGACATATGCATGGAGACTGTTGCAGTAGTCTCACCTTGAAGTGACACATGTATGGGGACTGCTGCAGTAGTCTCACCTTGAAGTGACACATGCACACAGACTGATACAATAGTCACACCTTGAAGTGACATATGCATGGAGACTGCTGCAGTAGTCTCACCTTGAAGTGACACATGTATTGGGACTGCTGCAGTAGTCTCACCTTGAAGTGACACATGCACACAGACTGATACAATAGTCACACCTTGAAGTGACACATGTATGGAGACTGCTGCAGTAGTCTCACCTTGAAGTGACACATGCATGGGCGAAGCTGTTTGATAGAGTATTTGTTTAGATATTTACGGATTCATCTCATATTCCTCATATTATGGTCAGCACTTTTGCAGATGCTTTTCACATGTCTTTTCAAACTGAATATTGAATCAATGATCACGCCAAGATTGCTTGCCTGATTGCTTGGTTAAACAATAACGTTACCAACACCTCTGTTGATATGTATTAAAACTAAAACTACATCAAAGATGAATCATTTAATGAGAAAGCTTCAGTTTATGCTCTGTCGTAGTTTACTGAACAATATTTATGGAATTTTTGTTAGACCACATTTTGAACAATTTCTTTTTATGCATATGAAGTTTGGGACGGGTATACCAAAGAGCAGAGTGATACATTAGAAAAACTCCAACTAGAAGCAGCAAGAATCGTAACTGATTTAACAAGCTATACTTCTATCAACAAATTGGATTTCGAAACTTCCTGGGAACCCTTATCAGAGCGTAGGAGAAAACGTAAATTGTGTTTAATTTATAAAATATATAACAATTTGACACCTTCATATCTCAAAGAGCTAGTACCACAGTCATTTAATGTGATTTTTTTATATCGGATGAAAATGAATTGATGCAATCACTATTGTTAATTGTGAAAGATACTTGTGATGTAAATATTGACCTGATGCTAGTTGGCAACGCCATTTTACCTAATCATGTGAACAAAAACATTTCTAGGAATGTACATACCTACATAAAGAAAACAAAAAGGTTTGAGTGAGCAATGTGAATGTACATACGTTTCTCTATTTCTTTTCTTTCCTTTCTGTCATTTAATGTATCAATTGTAAATAAGCACACATGTAAATCTGTGGGGGAGGGCGTTCCTAGTTGTGATAACGTGTGCCCAATCCTTTTCATGCGAATAAAATATGTTTTAGCCTGAACACACTCGCACACAAGTATGTACCTCTTCCACAAACACACATACCTTACCTCTGTTGATACACTTGAAAAATGTCCCTCACACATGAACGTCTGTTGATGCACAAGGTATCTCTCTCGCTCTCTCACTCACTCTTTCTCTCGCTTTCTCTCTCTCTCTCATACACACACACGGACACACATGTGCATGTTTGCCATCGTTGCCTGGGTATACACTTGAAGTATATTCCTTTCACTCACATACACATGTTCCTCCGTTGAGACACAAGGAATCTGATAAACTTACACGCATTTAAGTGTTTGCCAACAACGTCTCTGTTGAACACTTGAAGAATGTACGTCTCACACACACACATACAAACACGTCCTCCACAACTGCCTCTGTTGATACACTTACAGCATCACCTCTCAAAGACACACATACACGCACTTGTACCTCTGTTGATACACTTACAGTATCACCTCTCACAGACACACATACACGCACTTGTACCTCTGTTGATACACTTACAGCATCACCTCTCACAGACACACATACACGCACTTGTACCTCTGTTGATACACTTACAGCATCACCTCTCGCAGACACACACACAAACACGTCCTTTGTTGATACACGATCTGTAGATGCACTTGACGTGTGTACACAAACGCGCACTTGTTTGTCAGAGCAACCTTCATTCGTCGTGTTGACACCTTTGACCAGGGACCATATACGGAAATGGTCTCTGCCTTGACGTAGTTCACTGACACACATACATAAATACTCGAGTTTTGAACAGACAAGTCATTCATAATTTGAGCAACACATATATCAAATGCATTGCCCGGGGACCTAACCAGACCATTCCAATACCAGACCTACGTTGACATATGTTACACACGTGATGGCGACCATAAAGTACCTTCTGTCCAATGACGCAATGTGATGTCGGTTTGACTCGCCCGGAGAATATATAAGTGACCAGTGGTCAAATGAACGTCACTTGTGCTCTCAAGGTACAGTCAACAACACAGCGTCAGGTAAGCTTGTATTTGTCCTAACACAGTGCATCAGGTTTGCATGGTTACATTATTGGTCAAATTCCCAGCTTGAATATTGTCAATGCACTTTTGTTTTCAATTCAACGTGAATACTGAACACTTGCTGTTCGTGAGAGGCGACTAACAGGATCGGGCACGCTGAGTTTGTTGATGCATGTCATCGTATTCCATTTGCCTAGATCGATGCTTCACAGCACTGATATTTAAATACAATTGGGTTTTATAAGCTGGAGACTTATAGTTGTAAAATAATGTATTGTATACTAGTTTTGGTTTCTTTGCTTTCAAACAGTATCACAGATTTTGATGATGTCATTACAGACCAGTCATAATACAATTTGTTCTTGAGACCAACTAAAATACTCAGCATGGACATATTGAGACGGTCGTGTTGTTTCAGGATGTTTCCACGACCTTCAGCCGTTTAAATTCATTTTCAGATAGAAACTCTTTGAAGAGATGTCTAAACTAACTATTGTGGCCTTCTTTGTGATCGTTGGGGTCCTAGCAATCAACGGTGCACGTGAGTATATCACCCATCAATACTTTCTGTCACCGCGGAAATAACCCGTGAAGATCCGGGGTAGAATAGGTCTTCAGCAACCCATGCTTGCTTTAAAAGGCGACTATGCTTGTAGTAAAAGGCGACTAACGGGATCGGTTAGTCAGGCTCGCTGACTTGGTTGATGCATGCCATTGTATCCCAATCGCGTAGATCGATGCTCATGATGTTATTCACGAGACTGTCTGCTACACACTCGATGTTTTACAGACCGCTGTCACATAGCTGGAATTTTGCCGAGTGCGGCGTTAAACAACAAACAATTTGAAACAAAACCGTGGCAGGATACCCTTGAAATTCATATTCAAGTTTCTTGATCGGGTTCTTTTTCCTAGAAGTAGAACTTGTCCTGTGTCAACTATGTGTGCTGTGATCTCACTCACGATGTGAAGGGGCTCGGGGGTCCCAGTGGTCTGAGGCGCCGCACTTTCTCAGAGCAGTCCTTTATGGTGCCAGACATGTATCATGTGTACGAATTCCAGATTCGACCTGATTATGTCTCCTGGTCTGTCAGCACCATACCATGCTCGGGGGCTTCACCAACGTGGAAAGCGTCTAAAGCCTGCATCATTTCGTGCGTTTATCCCACATCTGATCGAAACTGATATAGCTGAAATACTGTTAAATACCACTCACTCAGTCTCACACACCCATGCAGATAAGATGTGCTCACCCATTTAGCGGCCACCCGGTGTCACGAAGTGCATCTTGGCACTGATTAGTAAATGTAGGTGTGTGAACGTGAACTTCCAAAATGTTTACAGAAAGAAATACTTATGACGCCAAAGTCCGTATTTGTTCTGTTTAACGTATAGATTCTGCATTAATGTTTTGTATTACAACCATATTCGACTGGTGTCGCTCCATATATAGACTTCAGTCCTGCTCAACTGAATTCTGTCTTCGTTTTCAGGTTTGCGTATCCGACCGATTTACGACTATGGCTCACCAGGTAAATATTGTATTCATATGTTTTTAAAGTAATGTTTAAAACACATTTAAACTTTTAAATCTACTAAATCAGTCTTTTCGTGTCAGTCATATTTATAAAATAGAAGATTTTGATCTTGTTTTAATGTTTTGACATGTCACATGTTAGCATCAACCAAACAAATGTTTCAGATTATCGTCTTATTCCTGGGAGGGACGGACGTCATAGACTTGTTCGTGTATACGAAAGACCAGACAAACCAGATCACTGTGAGTCATCCTCATCTTCAACCTTTTCCTCAATAGGCTGATCGAATAGATGTTGAAGGATGGGGCGGCAGGTGGTCAAGTGAATAAAGCGTTGTGTCGTCTCACACATGCGGAAAACACATAAATACGGTGTCCTCTGTCGTGATATTGCTGGAATAAATCTAAAAGCGGCGTAAAACAACATTCTAAGAAAAGATACCAACATAAATGTATATCATCAATGCATAAAACAATAGCATTAGCTTAATAAACAGTACTTGTTGTGCATTGGTCAAGCTATGCATGATACCAGTTATATTGTAAATCATTGAAGTGTGTTATCCGATTTACATTATGGTGTAAAATATCCCAAATATACATTACTCTTTATTTAATGTCCAATGATCTCCTTTCCAGTGGTAATCACTCAAGGACGTGGCGCAAACAGGCGGACATATGTCACTGACAATGTTGACCATCGTAAGATTATCTATTCTTACTTTTAGCAATTTGTTCATTTTCAGAAACAATAATTATGGCATTATGATTGCCAGGTATCACTTGATATTTAACGAACATCAAATTTGAACTGCCTTCTGTATAAGAACCTAGCGCCTTCTCAAGACGTCCCTTTTCCTGAACACTTTGTATCACAACTATACGTATGAAAAAGATTCACAAACACATGCTGGTGTTATAGTCGGAAACGTACAACTTTATTAAGAGATATCTTAAAATAATGGAAATGATTCTTTTTGTCGATTTTATTTATAGTTTATGTTTTCCTTATTTCAGTATATGATCACCCTAGAATGGGTGCACGTGCACTCTCATCTCATCACGGCTACAGCACCTTAGGAAGTAAGTTCAATACGACTCTACAGTTTGTTTGTTTGTTGTTTAACGCCACGCTCACCAATATCCCAACGATATGGCCGTCTCTAAAGAGTCGAGTTTGGGCCAGATAATCAAGTGATCAGCATTATGAACAGCGATTCACGTCGTCAGGGTGCGATGACACACAATGAACCAAGTTCCCAAGCCTGACTTCCTCATCACTTTTGTCTCCTCTGAAGAACAGCAAAGATTGCCTGGTAGTTTTTCTTGTCTGGAATCACCACGGCATTCGTGTACAAGCATTACCTTTCTCAAGGCTTCGTGATTCTGATAATGAGTGAGTGAGTATGGTTTCACGCCGCTTTCAGCAATATTCCAGCAATATCACGGCGGGGGACACCAGAAATGGGCTTCACACATTGTACCCATGTCGGGAATCGAACACGGGTTTTCGGCGGGACGAGCGAACGCTTTACCCACTAGGCTACCCGACCAACCCGATTCTGATAAAATGAATGAACATATATATTAGTCTTCATCGGGAAGCAAGTATTTATTTCCCGCTACTGCAATATCAAAGCAAAACCAAAGCGGGGCGTAACTCATTCTACCCATAGGCGTCATCATCTAGTCCTTAAACTGTAGGTTCCACAAAGCGCAAGAACTGTAATTTTTACCACATTCTGTGAAAGGGGAGGGGCATTATTGGGTTGAGTGAATTGCTATATGTACTTCAATGTGATTGTTTTGCACTGTTTTCAGTAAGGAAGCGCAGATCCATCCTGCATCCATTCCACTCAGGTAAGATACATCTTGTTCTGATTTTTAACCCTGATACACCTAAATCACGATGTGACTGATAATATATTAATATTAATCTTAAGCATATGTAATCTGCTCCCGCTTAAAACGAAACGATTTTAGCTCTACGACTGTCATATATGATAAGTATGGGAGTTACGACAGTCGTAACTCTGCGATTGTTTTGTGGAAACGGGCCCAGGCCATACTAAAGATCTTTGAAACGACGTCACAGTATCTCTTTTCTGAATGTTGAAGTGAAGATTTGTCCTGTCTTCTTACAGCGGCACTGTTCCATCCACTGCTGGCTCGCAACTACGGTCTCAATCTCGCTCTCAGAGCCCGAACCCTTGGTGCCCTGTCGTCCAGAAATCGTCTTCTCGGAGCACGTGGTCTTCTGGGGCAACGCCTGGTGAGACCCCAAAATGTTGCACAGATCGCTACACAGGTGGGACATCACAAAACACCAGCGGCTGTGACCAAGGTCGCAACGAAACATGCGCCACAGATTATTCCCTCTGCCCCAGCTGTTGTGCTGACAAAAGGTGTAGACACCTACCCAGCTCCCGCAGACGTATACCAGCCAGGTCCCGGTGTCAACACAGGAATCCCTAACCACATAGATCAAGTCGGCCTTCCCTATCAAGAAATCTTCGATCAACCCGCCGGAGGTCAGCCCCTGTACCAACCTCCCTCAGCTGTAAGCAATCAGCAAGGGCCAGCAGGAAGTATGTACAACGATCCTGCTCTTCAGCCTACAAATATGTTCAACGATTTTTCTGGTCAGCCCGCGGATCTGTACAACGGCCCTGGCGCTCCATACAACGGTCCTGCTGGTCAGCCCACTGATCTGTACAACGGCCCTGGCGCTCCATACAACGATCCTGCTGGCGCCCAAATCTACCCAGATCCTCTCGGCTCCGGCCCCATCTATCAAGGTACCAACGGCGCTTCAGACATATTCAGTAATGGAATCGATGTCTACTCTACCGACCGCGGTAGTGGCTTCGGGCCTTCTCGCTCCAATCTTGGCCTTGGCGATTACCTCCTCGACAGCAATGGTCAGAATTCTGTGATCTTTGACAGCAACAATCCTTCCAATATGGCCGCGTCTGGAGCCCCGACTAGGACAGCCGGCCCCGCCTCCGCTCCTAGTTTCATGTAGATGTTGAGTCGGTGTTAAGACAATTGCACGTCCTTCATACGTGTAGATGAACTGTTGTTATTGATAACGTTGTTACTTGAGTATTTGCTGTGAGCGCTCATGCTGTGTTTCATCAAGATATGTGAGCTCTTTCAAATAAATGTTAACTTGTAACAGTTGATTATTGTTGTGTTTCACATGGGATGTTGATAAAAAATAATTACACGAGCTGACGTAGTGAATCCACATAGGCAAACATTTGTGATTTTATGAGCGCTTTATTTAATTGCTGCCACGTAAGTCAACATTAATGCCTGTAACAATTTACTGCCTCTGAACTGAAGCATATGACACTTTTATCTTTAAGGCATGCAAACCATTTCATACATTGAACACACAATGCCAATTTGAAAGTGATCAAATGAAACAAATGTTATATTTGGGATAACACTTTCTTAGTAAAGTACAGATTATCGTACTTTTTTGTGGTTGAGTCCCGCCCGGGATTCGCAACCACACCGCCAGAGTGAGGCACGTAATCGCCAGCACACGAAGTCAGCGATCTAACCCAATCAGCCACCGAGGCTTCCACGATATGAAAGTCCGACAACTGGCAGTCTAGATCATGTACCTTGTGTACCCCTCTGAAAGAAAGTGCTATCCCAAATATAACATGTGTTACATTTGACCTCTTTCGAAATGGCATTGTGTGTTCATAGTTTTCGGCCATGGGAGCCGTGCCAATTTACACTTGTTGGCAACTATCTATGGCAAGTTCATTTATGAAAAATATAAACAACAACGGGCTTACAACACAACCTTGTCGTACACCGGAGGATGTTGTAAAGCAGTCAGTACGTTCATTATTTCATACGTTCATACATGCGCTGACTGATTCATACATGTTTTTTAAAAGTACAGACATTTTACCATGACACCCTTTAGTAAAAAGAATATACATCATTTAACATGGTCAAAAGCTTTTTTATAGTCAATAAATACACAATAAAAGCGACCTCTGGTTTGGCACAAATATTTAGAACAAGAGGCTTGTAAAAGAAACAAATTATCAACAGTAGAGTAGTTTGGTCGGATCCATGCTTGAGACTCGGACAGTAAATCATTTACTTCCATCCATATTCTGAAACGTTTTTCTATGATTGACGTGAAGATTTTTCCAAAACATTTAGAAGTGAAATGCCTCTATGTTTACTTGGTTCACAAACTGACCCAGATTTATATAATGAAATAATCATACTTAAATTCCAAGATTCTGGAAACAGAATCATGTCTAAAATCTTATTGAACAATAACTTCAAGTATAGTGCAAAGAGATCTGATGGTAGTTTAAAGAATTCAGGGGGTATCCCATCTTCACCTGCGGACTTGCCCATACTCAGATTATTGATAGCGTCCGTGACCTCTCTTTCAGTGATGTGAATGGGTGTAATCCATTGTGAGAATGAACCACATTAACACTTATGCTGCCGACCCAATTATTCTTACTGCCGGCGTGAGGATCTGCCCAGGATCGCAAATAATTTGGAGCTGCCGATAAGTTACCATCTTCCCGAGGCAAGAGAGTTAACTGACTTTAAAGGTCTAGTTTCCACCCTTGCCGAACTAGGCTGGAATTTCTGGGCTCGATCGTAGCGCCACCAGTGGCTGTTACGAGTTATGTCACTGCTATGCCTCTCCTATTGACCAATCAGATTCCACCTATCGTATCACTTGCATTTGCTTCAAACAATATGGCGGCGCCCAGTCAAGACGATCTGATCGACAATCAAGATCTATGTTGTGATAAAACGGCTCTTACATCGCTAAGTGCACCAAATGACGTGAGCACCTTGATTAAAAACTTGAAAAGATTTGGAAAATATCTGTTGACAGCGAGTTGGCGGTGCACATGCTGTGCAAATCTTGCAATCGACTCGAACTCTGCATAACAGTTTACGAACCGGATTTCGATTTTGGTGCGCGATTGTAAGAGGACTATGCATAGACTCGTTAGTCCAGCCCTAATCTAACTGCATAATACCAGTCTAGTTCGGCAAGGGTGGAAACTGGACTTTCATGGTCAGTCAACTCTCTTGCCTCGGGAAGATGATAAGTTACATAAACCAGATACTAATATCGCTTACGAAAGCGAGAGGCACAAACGATACGACCATGAAATGAGTTTAATAATCATTATATGATAAATGAATTACGGTTTATTGGTTAATCTCGGACAGTTCATGGGTATATTGCACCATTTGTCATTCTTGTTACGAACCTCATTCTTCTATAAAAGTATCTTCCTCATTTTAAAAATACACCAAAAGCACATTTTGTTACAGGCAGTAAGACACGTGACAATATATTTCTGTATGGCATTTGAAATTGTCACGGGCAAGCAGTTGAATTTAAGAAAACTCGACAGGAACATTTAACTCCGACACTGCCATGTTCTGGCATGTAGTTGATGGGGAGCTGGTTTTTGGATGATATAACTACAAAGTTGAAGTTAATAATTAAATCCTGTAATTGTATTCATTTTTAAGAATGTGTACGTTTAAATGAGGACCAGTAATCTTTGCTGCTGGGCCAGTGTTGGTGAGAACAACGAGTATCTCTGTACATGTGTTGATAGGACATGGTCGGGGGATGGAAACACCGACCCTCCGTTCTTTGGGGGTTGTTTGGTTGACGATGTGTTAAAGGGGGCAACTGACACACAAACATATGTCCATGTGATAGATGTGATAGGATGTACCTGACACAAACAGACAGATACACAGACAGACAGATAGACACTCACGTGTTTGACACCACTGCCTCTGTTTATAATTGATATATGTACCATGAACACACAAACATGTAGGTGTTCGCTAGCACTGACTCTATTTATGATGTAAGTACCTGGTGCATACATACGCACATACACATACATCTGAAAATCTATACATGTGGTGATACACTTGAAGTACCTGACACGCACACATGTAAATGTTTATGATCCAGGCATCTCTCGATAGACTAAGACTATGTCACCTTTCCCTCCCTCCACACACACACACACACACACACACACACACACACACACACACACACACACACACACACACACACACACACACACACACACACACACACACACACACACACACACACACAGATACACAGATACAAATCATGTACCTCTGTTGAAACACTTGAAGTATGTACCTTTCTCTCTCAGACACACACACACACACACTCTCTGTATGACACACGCACACCGACTGATACAATAGTCTCACCTTGACGTGAAACTGAGCATGGAGAATGCTGCAATAGTCTTACCTTGAAGTGACACATGTACGGAGACTGTTGCGATAGTCTCACCTTGAAGTGACACATGTATGGAGACTGTTGCAGTAGTCTTACCTTGAAGTGACACATGTATGGAGAATGTTGCCATAGTCTCACCTTGAAGTGACACATGTATGGAGACTGCTGCAGTAGTCTCACCTTGAAGTGACACGTGTATGGGGACTGTTGCGATAGTCTCACCTTGAAGTGACACATGCACACAGACTGATACAATAGTCACACCTTGAAGTGACACATGCATGGAGACTGTTCAATAGTCTCACCTTGAGGTGACATATGTATGGAGACTGTTCAATAGTCTCACCTTGAAGTGATACATGTATGGAGACTGTTCAATAGTCTTACCTTGAAGTGACACATGTATGGAGACTGTTGCGATAGTCTCACCTTGAAGTGACACATGTATGGAGACTGTTGCGATAGTCTCACCTTGAAGTGACACATGTATGGAGACTGCTGCAGTAGTCTCACCTTGAAGTGACACATGTATGGGGACTGTTGCGATAGTCTCACCTTGAAGTGACACATGCACACAGACTGATACAATAGTCACACCTTGAAGTGATACATGTATGGAGACTGTTCAATAGTCACACCTTGAAGTGACACATGTATGGAGACTGTTCAATAGTCACACCTTGAAGTGACACATGTATGGAGACTGTTCAATAGTCACACCTTGAAGTGACACATGTATGGAGACTGTTCAATAGTCACACCTTGAAGTGACACATGTATGGAGACTGTTCAATAGTCACACCTTGAAGTGATACATGTATGGAGACTGCTGCAGTAGTCACACCTTGAAGTGACACATGTATGGAGACTGTTCAATAGTCTCACCTTGAAGTGACACATGCACACAGACTGATACAATAGTCACACCTTGAAGTGACACATGTATGGAGACTGTTCAATAGTCACACCTTGAAGTGACACATGTATGGAGACTGTTCAATAGTCACACCTTGAAGTGACACATGCACACAGATTGATACAATAGTCACACCTTGAAGTGACACATGTATGGAGACTGTTCAATAGTCTCACCTTGAAGTGACACATGTATGGAGACTGTTCAATAGTCACACCTTGAAGTGACACATGTATGGAGACTGTTCAATAGTCTCACCTTGAAGTGACACATGTATGGAGACTGTTCAATAGTCACACCTTGAAGTGACACATGTATGGAGACTGTACAATAGTCACACCTTGAAGTGACACATGTATGGAGACTGTTCAATAGTCACACCTTGAAGTGACACATGTATGGAGACTGTTCAATAGTCTCACCTTGAAGTGACACATGTATTGAGACTGTTCAATAGTCTCACCTTGAGGTGACACATGTATGGAGACTGTTCAATAGTCTCACCTTGAAGTGACACATGTATGGAGACTGTTCAATAGTCTCACCTTGAGGTGACACATGTATGGAGACTGTACAATAGTCTCACCTTGAAGTGACACATGTTAGGAGACTGTTCAATAGTCTCACCTAGAAGTGACACATGTATGGAGACTGTTCAATAGTCTCACCTTGAGGTGACACATGTATGGAGACTGTTCAATAGTCTCACCTTGAAGTGACACATGTATGGAGACTGTTCAATAGTCTCACCTTGAGGTGACACATGTATGGAGACTGTTCAATAGTCTCACCTTGAAGTGACACATGTATGGAGACTGTTCAATAGTCTCACCTTGAGGTGACACATGTATGGAGACTGTTGAATAGTCTCACCTTGAGGTGACACATGTATGGAGACTGTTCAATAGTCTCACCTTGAAGTGACACATGTATGGAGACTGTTCAATAGTCTCACCTTGAGGTGACACATGTATGGAGACTGTTGCGATAGTCTCACCTTGAAGTGACACATGTATGGAGACTGCTGCAGTAGTGTCACCTTGAAGTGACACATGTATGGGGACTGTTGCGATAGTCTCACCTTGAAGTGACACATGTATGGAGACTGCTGCAGTAGTCTCACCTTGAAGTGACACATGTATGGGGACTGTTGCGATAGTCTCACCTTGAAGTGACACATGCACACAGACTGATACAATAGTCACACCTTGAAGTAACACATGCATGGAGACTGTTCAATAGTCTCACCTTGAGGTGACATATGTATGGAGACTGTTCAATAGTCTCACCTTGAAGTGATACATGTATGGAGACTGTTCAATAGTCTTACCTTGAAGTGACACATGTATGGAGACTGTTGCGATAGTCTCACCTTGAAGTGACACATGTATGCAGACTGTTGCGATAGTCTCACCTTGAAGTGACACATGTATGGAGACTGCTGCAGTAGTCTCACCTTGAAGTGACACATGTATGGGGACTGTTGCGATAGTCTCACCTTGAAGTGACACATGCACACAGACTGATACAATAGTCACACCTTGAAGTGATACATGTATGGAGACTGTTCAATAGTCACACCTTGAAGTGACACATGTATGGAGACTGTTCAATAGTCACACCTTGAAGTGACACATGTATGGAGACTGTTCAATAGTCACACCTTGAAGTGACACATGTATGGAGACTGTTCAATAGTCACACCTTGAAGTGACACATGTATGGAGACTGTTCAATAGTCACACCTTGAAGTGACACATGTATGGAGACTGTTCAATAGTCACACCTTGAAGTGACACATGTATGGAGACTGTTCAATAGTCACACCTTGAAGTGACACATGTATGGAGACTGTTCAATAGTCTCACCTTGAAGTGACACATGCACACAGACTGATACAATAGTCACACCTTGAAGTGACACATGTATGGAGACTGTTCAATAGTCACACCTTGAAGTGACACATGTATGGAGACTGTTCAATAGTCTCACCTTGAAGTGACACATGCACACAGACTGATACAATAGTCACACCTTGAAGTGACACATGTATGGAGACTGTTCAATAGTCTCACCTTGAAGTGACACATGTATGGAGACTGTTCAATAGTCACACCTTGAAGTGACACATGTATTGAGACTGTTCAATAGTCACACCTTGAAGTGACACATGTATGGAGACTGTTCAATAGTCTCACCTTGAAGTGACACATGTATGGAGACTGTTCAATAGTCACACCTTTAAGTGACACATGTATGGAGACTGTTCAATAGTCTCACCTTGAAGTGACACATGTATGGAGACTGTTCAATAGTCACACCTTTAAGTGACACATGTATGGAGACTGTTCAATAGTCTCACCTTGAAGTGACACATGTATGGAGACTGCTGCAGTAGTGTCACCTTGAAGTGACACATGTATGGGGACTGTTGCGATAGTCTCACCTTGAAGTGACACATGTATGGAGACTGCTGCAGTAGTCTCACCTTGAAGTGACACATGTATGGGGACTGTTGCGATAGTCTCACCTTGAAGTGACACATGCACACAGACTGATACAATAGTCACACCTTGAAGTAACACATGCATGGAGACTGTTCAATAGTCTCACCTTGAGGTGACATATGTATGGAGACTGTTCAATAGTCTCACCTTGAAGTGATACATGTATGGAGACTGTTCAATAGTCTTACCTTGAAGTGACACATGTATGGAGACTGTTGCGATAGTCTCACCTTGAAGTGACACATGTATGCAGACTGTTGCGATAGTCTCACCTTGAAGTGACACATGTATGGAGACTGCTGCAGTAGTCTCACCTTGAAGTGACACATGTATGGGGACTGTTGCGATAGTCTCACCTTGAAGTGACACATGCACACAGACTGATACAATAGTCACACCTTGAAGTGATACATGTATGGGGACTGTTCAATAGTCACACCTTGAAGTGACACATGTATGGAGACTGTTCAATAGTCACACCTTGAAGTGACACATGTATGGAGACTGTTCAATAGTCTCACCTTGAAGTGACACATGTATGGAGACTGTTCAATAGTCTCACCTTGAGGTGACACATGTATGGAGACTGTTCAATAGTCTCACCTTGAAGTGACACATGTATGGAGACTGTTCAATAGTCTCACCTTGCGGTGACACATGTATGGAGACTGTTCAATAGTCTCACCTTGCGGTGACACATGTTAGGAGACTGTTCAATAGTCTCACCTTGCGGTGACACATGTATGGAGACTGTTCAATAGTCTCACCTTGCGGTGACACATGTATGGTGACTGTTCAATAGTCTCACCTTGCGGTGACACATGTATGGAGACTGTTCAATAGTCTCACCTTGAGGTGACACATGTATGGAGACTGTTCAATAGTCTCACCTTGCGGTGACACATGTATGGAGACTGTTCAATAGTCTCACCTTGAAGTGACACATGTATGGAGACTGTTCAATAGTCTCACCTTGCGGTGACACATGTATGGAGACTGTTCAATAGTCTCACCTTGCGGTGACACATGTATGGAGACTGTTCAATAGTCTCACCTTGCGGTGACATATGCATGGGCGAAGCTGTTTGATAGAGTATTTGTTTACATATTTACGGATTCATCTCATATTCCTCATATTATGGTCAGCACTTTTGCAGATGCTTTTCACATGTCTTTTCAAACTGAATATTGAATCAATGATCACGCCAAGATTGCTTGCCTGATTGCTTAGTTAAACAATAACGTTACCAACACATGTACCTCTGTTGATATGTATTAAAACTAAAACTACATCAAAGATGAATCATTTAATGACAAAGCTTCAGTTTATGCTCTGTCGTAGTTTACTGAACAATATTTATGGAATTTTTGTTAGACCACATTTTGAATAATCTCTTTTTATGCATATGAAGTTTGGGACGGTTATACCAAAGAGCAGAGTGATACATTAGAAAAACTCCAACTAGAAGCAGCAAGAATCGTAACTGATTTAACAAGCTATACTTCTATCAACAAATTGGATTTCGAATCTTCCTGGGAACCCTTATCAGAGCGTAGGAGAAAACGTAAATTGTGTTTATTTTATAAAATATATAACAATTTGACACCTTCATATCTCAAAGAGCTAGTACCACAGTCATTTAATGTGATTTTTTTTATATCAGATGAAAATGAATTGATGCAATCACTATTGTTAATTGTGAAAGATACTTGTGATGTAAATATTGACCTGATGCTAGTTGGCAACGCCATTTTACCTAATCATGTGAACGGAAACATTTCTAGGAATGTACATACCTACATAAAGAAAACAAAAAGGTTTGAGTGAGCAATGTGAATGTACATACGTTTCTCTATTTCTTTTCTTTCCTTTCTGTCATTTAATGTATCAATTGTAAATAAGCACACATGTAAATCTGTGGGGGAGGGCGTTCCTAGTTGTGATAACGTGTGCCCAATCCTTTTCATGAGAATAAAATATGTTTTAGCCTGAACACACTCGCACACAAGTATGTACCTCTTCCACAAACACACATAACTTACCTCTGTTGATACACTTGAAAAATGTCCCTCACACATGAACGTCTATTGATGCACAAGGTATCTCTCTCGCTCTCTCACTCACTCTTTCTCTCGCTTTCTCTCTCTCTCTCATACACACACACGGACACACATGTGCATGTTTGCCATCGTTGCCTGGGTATACACTTGAAGTATACACCTTTCACTCACATACACATGTTCCTCCGTTGAGACACAAGGAATCTGATAAACTTACACGCATTTAAGTGTTTGCCAACAACGTCTCTGTTGAACACTTGAAGAATGTACGTCTCACACACACACATACAAACACGTCCTCCACAACTGCCTCTGTTGATACACTTACAGCATCACCTCTCAAAGACACACATACACGCACTTGTACCTCTGTTGATACACTTACAGTATCACCTCTCACAGACACACATACACGCACTTGTACCTCTGTTGATACACTTACAGCATCACCTCTCACAGACACACATACACGCACTTGTACCTCTGTTGATACACTTACAGCATCACCTCTCGCAGACACACACACAAACACGTCCTTTGTTGATACACGATCTGTAGATGCACTTGACGTGTGTACACAAACGCGCACTTGTTTGTCAGAGCAACCTTCATTCGTCGTGTTGACACCTTTGACCAGGGACCATATACGGAAATGGTCTCTGCCTTGACGTAGTTCACTGACACACATACATAAATACTCGAGTTTTGAACAGACAAGTCATTCATAATTTGAGCAACACATATATCAAATGCATTGCCCGGGGACCTAACCAGACCATTCCAATACCAGACCTACGTTGACATATGTTACACACGTGATGGCGACCATAAAGTACCTTCTGTCCAATGACGCAATGTGATGTCGGTTTGACTCGCCCGGAGAATATATAAGTGACCAGTGGTCAAATGAACGTCACTTGTGCTCTCAAGGTACAGTCAACAACACAGCCTCAGGTAAGCTTGTATTTGTCCTAACACAGTGCATCAGGTTTGCATGGTTACATTATTGGTCAAATTCCCAGCTTGAATATTGTCAATGCACTTTTGTTTTCAATTCAACGTGAATACTGAACACTTGCTGTTCGTGAGAGGCGACTAACAGGATCGGGCACGCTGAGTTTGTTGATGCATGTCATCGTATTCCATTTGCCTAGATCGATGCTTCACAGCACTGATATTTAAATACAATTGGGTTTTATAAGCTGGAGACTTATAGTTGTAAAATAATGTATTGTATACTAGTTTTGGTTTCTTTGCTTTCAAACAGTATCACAGATTTTGATGATGTCATTACAGACCAGTCATAATACAATTTGTTCTTGAGACCAACTAAAATACTCAGCATGGACATATTGAGACGGTCGTGTTGCTTCAGGATGTTTCCACGACCTTCAGCCGTTTAAATTCATTTTCAGATAGAAACTCTTTGAAGAGATGTCTAAACTAACTATTGTGGCCTTCTTTGTGATCGTTGGGGTCCTAGCAATCAACGGTGCACGTGAGTATATCACCCATCAATACTTTCTGTCACCGCGGAAAGAACCCGTGAAGATCCGGGGTAGAATAGGTCTTCAGCAACCCATGCTTGCTTTAAAAGGCGACTATGCTTGTAGTAAAAGGCGACTAACGGGATCGGTTAGTCAGGCTCGCTGACTTGGTTGATGCATGCCATTGTATCCCAATCGCGTAGATCGATGCTCATGATGTTATTCACGAGACTGTCTTCTACACACTCGATGTTTTACAGACCGCTGTCACATAGCTGGAATTTTGCCGAGTGCGGCGTTAAACAACAAACAATTTGAAACAAAACCGTGGCAGGATACCCTTGAAATTCATATTCAAGTTTCTTGATCGGGTTCTTTTTCCTAGAAGTAGAACTTGTCCTGTGTCAACTATGTGTGCTGTGATCTCACTCACGATGTGAAGGGGCTCGGGGGTCCCAGTGGTCTGAGGCGCCGCACTTTCTCAGAGCAGTCCTTTATGGTGCCAGACATGTATCATGTGTACGAATTCCAGATTCGACCTGATTTTGTCTCCTGGTCTGTCAGCGCCATTCCATGCTCGGGGGCTTCTCCAACGTGGAAAGCGTCTAAAGCCTGCATCATTTCGTGCGTTTATCCCACATCTGATCGAAACTGATATAGCTGAAATACTGTTAAATACCACTCACTCAGTCTCACACACCCATGCAGATAAGATGTGCTCACCCATTTAGCGGCCACCCGGTTTCACGAAGTGCATCTTGGCACTGATTAGTAAATGTAGGTGTGTGAACGTGAACTTCCAAAATGTTTACAGAAAGAAATACTTATGACGCCAAAGTCCGTATTTGTTCTGTTTAACGTATAGATTCTGCATTAATGTTTTGTATTACAACCATATTGGACTGGTGTCGCTCCATATATAGACTTCAGTCCTGCTCAACTGAATTCTGTCTTCGTTTTCAGGTTTGCGTATCCGACCGATTTACGACTATGGCTCACCAGGTAAATATTGTATTCATATGTTTTTAATGTAATGTTTTAAACACATTTAAACTTTTAAATCTACTAAATCAGTCTTTTCGTGTCAGTCATATTTATAAAATAGAAGATTTTGATCTTGTTTTAATGTTTTGACATGTCACATGTTAGCATCAACCAAACAAATGTTTCAGATTATCGTCTTATTCCTGGGAGGGACGGACGTCATAGACTTGTTCGTGTATACGAAAGACCAGACAAACCAGATCACTGTGAGTCATCCTCATCTTCAACCTTTTCCTCAATAGGCTGATCGAATAGATGATGAAGGATGGGGCGGCAGGTGGTCAAGTGAATAAAGCGTTGTGTCGTCTCACACATGCGGAAAACACATAAATACGGTGTCCTCTGTCGTGATATTGCTGGAATAAATCTAAAAGCGGCGTAAAACAACATTCTAAGAAAAGATACCAACATAAATATATATCATCAATGCATAAAACAATAGCATTAGCTTAATAAACAGTACTTGTTGTGCATTGGTCAAGCTATGCATGATACCAGTTATATGGTAAATCATTGAAGTGTGTTATCCGATTTACATTATGGTGTAAAATATCCCAAATATACATTACTCTTTATTTAATGTCCAATGATCTCCTTTCCAGTGGTAATCACTCAAGGACGTGGCGCAAACAGGCGGACATATGTCACTGACAATGTTGACCATCGTAAGATTATCTATTCTTACTTTTAGCAATTTGTTCATTTTCAGAAACAATAATTATGGCATTATGATTGCCAGGTATCACTTGATATTTAACGAACATCAAATTTGAACTGCCTTCTGTATAAGAACCTAGCGCCTTCTCAAGACGTCCCTTTTCCTGAACACTTTGTATCACAACTATACGTATGAAAAAGATTCACAAACACATGCTGGTGTTATAGTCGGAAACGTACAACTTTATTAAGAGATATCTTAAAATAATGGAAATGATTCTTTTTGTCGATTTTATTTATAGTTTATATTTTCCTTATTTCAGTATATGATCACCCTAGAATGGGTGCACGTGCACTGTCATCTCATCACGGCTACAGCACCTTAGGAAGTAAGTTCAATACGACTCTACAGTTTGTTTGTTTGTTGTTTAACGCCACGCTCACCAATATC